GTCGTTGAATTCTTGACATTTTTCTCAATGAATTTTGTTGGTATTTTAATTAACGATTTCCTGTAACGTAATATAAAAAAGTGTATAATATTTGGCTTAAAATATTCTGATTTCTGGAAAATATAAAAAAAATTATGATATATTTTATATTTTACATTGATCGTAGAAAACTGTAAAATTTTTTCCTCTTTCACTTTTACTTAACCCTTACTATTTATAAGAGAAACCTTGATTAGTAACATCGTAAAGTAATTTCTTAGTTTTCTTAGTTTCTTAGATTCTTTAGTTAGTAAAAAAGAAATTTTATCTTCTGTAAATCTTTATATTCACAAATTTATAAAGTACCATAAAATAAAAAGAATCGAGAATGAATAGTGGTTAAAAAATAGCACAAACTTTGAAGTATACCTCTTATTATTTGTAAATCTGTTTCAAAATGGATTTGTTACGGATCAACAATAATTAGACCGCAAATGAAAAATAATAGCATAATTAATAGGACGAAATTTAATAATTATGAAGGGAAATTTGAGTCTTAATCTTTTTAAATAAAAAGACATTATATTTTATTAATTAAAATCACGAAATATTTCCATTAGCACGAGGTTTATCCTAATATCAATCTTTTTAAAAGATTGTACAACATCTAAGAAACTTTTAGAATTCACTAAAACTTAACTACTTTACATCCTTGATAAAATCGACTTAAAATGTTCAACAATAAGCATGATATTTCATTGCTCGTAAGAGAAACTCGTAAATTTGCATGGTATTTGGTAACGGTCGCCATTGTGTTTTTACGTAACGATGGATTTTACTTATTGTTGGAAATCTATGTCAAGAAGATTTGCAGACCGATACCGCGATGAGAGAAAGGAACATTGAATTAAACTTAAAGAATTTTGCCAGGAAAAGATTTATGTATACATATAACGAATCATTCGAATAAATGTTTCATGAATTCATTGAATTATGTGCGGTTGAATGCAACAAAATCAATTTAAATTATTTAGTGATACCATCTCGATGAAAAGTTTACATCTGAAAATATCATCAATGATAATTCTTCGATGTGAGGCCATAAGAGACTCCAATGTAAAATCTCTAACGTAAATATTTATACTACATATTATGTAAGATACAATAATTTCCTATGTATTTTTACGTACGAAAATAAATCATAGAAATTGTTTAAACGAGATAAAATTTTCTAATGCTAATTAATTTAATTAAAACAAATAACTAAGTAAAATGATTAGATCACACACGATATTCTACAGTCTTGTATTATATTGTACTAAAATTGTAACATAGATTTATATTAGCTGGAAAAATAAAATATATATATATGTGTGTATATATATGTATATATATGTGTGTGAATTTATTGTATAATCACGATGTGACAATTACTCTTTTACCATATTGAGCATAATGTCACGTTTGAGATGACGAAACTATAAATATTTAAAATCGAGATTACCAGATGCACGAATATTACCTTTTAGTTTTATAAATATTGCTTATTTTAGAACACAGTAATATGTTGAATAATGCCACGAACGTATATTATTTTATAAGGAAATTCACAATTTAAAAATACTAATTCTAATTTGTACATATATAAAATATGATAAATTATGTATGGAATTCTTAATAGTACTCTTTGATAATAATCAAAGTTTCAATGTTTTTTTGAATATAATTCTGGAAATATTTTTTGCAATTGAATGAATATGAAAAAAAATAATTGTTCATTTATATTTAAACACGTTTAAAATTTTTATTTAAAAAAATTTTATTTAAAAAAAGAAAATATTAAAACTTTGGGAGTTGATTTAATATTCTCTTAAGTAAAAAAATGTTTCATATACAGAATATTCGAGAATGTTTTTTCCATTTCATCCAAATATTTCTTTATATTCATTATATTCACTTGTACGTTTTATTATATCAATGAAAATTTAAATTCTTTTACATATTAATCAGTATTAGAATCTTTTCATCTTTATATATGTATGTGGAAGTAATTCAGGCATACTGACACTGTTTCTTAAACTTTTGTTATCTAAATAATATTGTACTGAATCATCGATCGTCTCTTTAACGTCATGAATAATAGTTTATTCTACCGATAGTGATGATCTAATAACTATTCTCTAAAAGCATTAACCATTGACACGTACCTCTTCTATTTCAAAGTTTTTAAGAACTTTATATTATTCGAAAATTAACATTCCTTCTAAGTATAAATTTTAATTCTTACATTATATATGCTTATATGTTTTAAGATAAAATTTAAAATTTAATATTCGATTCTTAACTAAGAAAAAGTTCATTTTCTTTTATAATAAATTAAAAATAATATATTATGACATTAAAATTTAATTTATAGTGTTATCAATTATAATTCACTAATTGCAAAAGTGAATTAGCTTATGTGCATATTTTGTTATCAACGTTTCTTATTTTTATAACGAAGTAAAATACTTCATTCATTCCATTATAAACAATCACCATTCTCTTTTCCTTATTTAAGAATACACAGTCCATTAGAAATACAAAGAAAATTCTATTTAGAACAGATCCATATCTACTCTCTAAATCAAACTTGTAATCTCTAATGAATGCAAATGTCAAATAACTATTATATATATTCTCTTAAATTTATTTAAGTAAACTGAATTTCCGTTTAAATTCAAATTTAATTCTTTTAAATGGTATAATTATTTCGAGTCATCATTGCTGAATAGTCATTCATTATAATCACTGTAATTATTTATTAATATTTTATTTGCAATTTTTTTTCGTTTAATTTAAATTAAATGTTTCCAACGATTGTGTAAATATACTAAATAATTCTTTTAATTAATAATTCAATTTATTTTTTTATTTTATTTACAATTAATTAAATCCTGATAATTTTTTGAAATTATTAAAATTTTTTTTATGTTTCTAATAAATCTTTAGATATAATGGACATACATTTATGAAATGTAAGAACTTTAGATACGATCTTAGTAATTTTTTTTTATCATGGAATAGATAGTTACTTGTAAAATGATTCCTCGAGTTGTGCAACTCTAATCTAGTTATTATTATTATTAGACATTTGCTCGTGTAATTACTTGATTCTATTACATGGATGTATTTTAATATTATAGTACAAATTATTTTCTAAAATCAATTAAATTGGAACAATACTCATACTTTTATCTATAATTATCTATAATTTTTAATTAAAACGTAATAATTGTATGCAAAATATTCATGGTAATTGCAAGCAATAAAAAAGAAGAATGAAAGAATACAAGACAAATCTAGTTCCTGATTATTTTTAATTGTTGGAAATTATCAATACTTTTCAAGATTTTTACTACAATAGATGTGCGATGATGCTTTTTTTTTTATTCCATTTACACGCTCTTTTATTATTTTATTATTTTTACATAATAATAAAATAATATGACTGTTGATAAATAAAATTGATTTAAATTACGATATATCAACGATTACTCATGTAATCTTTTTATTTCTCTTCTATAATATATTGTATTTAAATCACAATCATTGATCTAAAATATTTTTTATTGTACAACAATAAAATATTATAAATAATATTTAATTCTATAATATAATTATAAAATTAATTTTTTAATTATTATAAATCTTCAAAAATTTTACCTGAATATTTATAAGTATTATCTCTCCACTTCCTTTTTCTTATCTATTTCATTTTTTATTCTTTCTTATCACTTTCAATATATTATTTAATCATAAATTTTTTTGTCAATCAATTCTCAGTACACTTCTCTATAGATTTTCATTTAAAAGTTTTTTTAAAAACAAAAAAAGGATTATTTTTCTCGTGAATTTATCAATCGATAACAAAAAAATCACTAATAAACAAAAATATGTATAAATATATAGAATGTTTTGGTCACGCTGCGCCAATTTTAATGCCATTTTTGCTCGTTCGCAGCACCAGCCACATAATCAGATAAAATGGATAATAGCGGAGATTTATGATGGCATACACACATATGCATATATATGTGATTCAATATAATTCTTTTGAATCGAAGCTCCAGACAGGTTTCTTATTTATTTATTTATTTATTTATTTTCCACAGCAAAGTATGTCAATTGCAACGATAATAATTATTGACATATTATTGATAGGTTGCAATGATTGAGAAAGTTAAATATTTTATACAATCTTTCAAAGTAATAAAAATTTATTATCCATCTTCTTGCAAATAGTTATATTCAAAAGAGTTAAAACTGAAAGAACAAAAAATTATTTAAACACATTAATAGTTTGTATCTATTCCATTCGTGAACAAAGAAAATATATACATTTTTATAAAAGAAAATATTTTAATAACTAAATGAAAATCTATTTGGATTTTGGTTTATTCGAATTCTGACCTACATTTTATTTTTTTGTTGATCAAACAAACACAGAATTTAGTATGAGAGTATGATACTTGCCTCGCGAGATTCCATATGTAATGCCAATCCTTGAATAGAAAACGTGTCGCGGGTTACTGAGCTAAGATGCTTCCGTACTACTTGAGTTCTCCTTGTTTCTACGAACCTCGATACATTAGGATCGATTAGGAAAAACTTGTCCTTGCTCTGGCATAAATGTTTCTCTCAAACTGGTATTATCGATCTTCTTTCTAATTAGAAATCCCACTGAAAATTTAAAGAAAGGAATTAGAGAAAAATTCGTTGAAATTCGAGTCTACTTAGAGACATTATCTATTTATTACGTAAAAGTACAATGAAAACTCTATATCAAAAATTAATGCAAAAAGCGATACAACATTTCAAGAATATGATCGAATACTGTGTCAATAAAAAATTCAAGAGAAAAATAACATGTTAAACAGTGCATAAAATTATTATATTTTAAAATTTTAATATTATCCTCGATTCGATACAGCAAATTTCTGAAAATAATTACACTATACTCGATCAGACAGACACGTTTCTTGCGCGATCACTATATGCTTCCACGACAAGTCATTGTTTGAACGCAATTATTTAATAACCATTATGCGTTCAAACTTTTGAACCTCGCGTGCAAACTTTTTCTATTTCATTCAATTTTTTCCAAATTGAAAGAATGACAAAAATAAAAGATGGGGGAAAACGAAGAGAAATAGAATCTTTCAGGAAGAGAATACTTAGCACTCGGACTCGTCCAACAAAGTCCAACGCTGCACGAGTTATGCAATTACATTTGTAATGGGCCAACATTCAGCTCCGACAACGCTGACAATTCGTGGTAATTACTGTACCGTATCTCATAATTCATTGCCGGGTCGCCTCGTCTTCTGTAGATATATCTTCTGAAAAGAAACGGAAGAAACTACCCCAAAATGTGATACTTTTCGAACATATTTTGAATTTTTGAATGATTGAATTTTTAATGAAAGAGATTTGGATTTATTTTTTATATCGAAAATAAAGCTATAAACAAAGCTAATACATAATATAGCTTTAGATGCTCTAAAAATATCAAAGTAAGTCCTCAGTTTTACTGAAGTTTCCTAAAAATAATATTTGTAGCTTAATTAATTGAAAATAATATTAATCAAAATATGACTCGACAAATTTAATATAAATTTAACATGTGAATATTATTTTTAATATAATAATACAGGGTGTAATTTACGCGAAATTTCAGAAGTTGATTGCACATTTATGAGTTATAATGAATTTTTTAAATAGAGCAGAAAATAAGCAAAATGGAAATTTTAAAGAATATTAAATTTCAGATGTGATTTATACATAATTATATTCTATCATATTTTAGTCGAATAATTAGAAAATTTTTGAATAAATACTTTCCAAAATAGATTGAACATAGAAATCTAATTTAATTTAAATTGAATTTTTACTTATTCATTGTGTATGCCTATTTTTTGAATTGAAATAAAATAAAACAAGATTTTTTTTTTATTAATATTTTAAAAATGAATGTATAAAATGATATTCACAATAAAGATAAAAATAAATAAGATATTATTATTATATAAATTTTTAAATAAATAAATTCCCGATTAAACATTCGCTTACTTCGTTATATCCTGTATTATACATTTTTTTAAATTAATTAGCAATAATTATGGATGGAAAATTGCTTTAGTAGTTCTAAATACTGTTATCTCATCGCCAGTAAATACAATGGATTATCTTTTATAATACGTATGACTAATTAATCATTATAAAACTGCTCATAAATAGTTGGAATTTGAGAAACGTAGAAAAGTATTTCAATAGAATGTGAATATGAATGAAACTTTTGTATATTTTAATAATAAATATTCATGACTTTGAAAACAAATTTTTACTAATCATCATTAATAAGTAGCTTGTATAATTTGCATCCTCACAAATAGACTATGTATTATTGGCTTAATTGTTATTAGTTTTATTAGTTTACAATAACCTTGTCCTTCATTAACATAATTTCTTGCGAGTAAAAATTTTTTTACAAAAAATTCTTAATATCTCGATGGAAAATTTTATTCATTCATTTCCTACAATTTAATAAATAATATATGATAAGTTATGTAAGTGCAAAAAAATCCTGATTATTTTGTAATTCTTGGAATGAGCACAGTGCAAAATTAGCGTTCTTTAAAAAAGAATTATTCAATTTTATTGATTTATGCAAATGATGAAGGTATTTCATTAATCAGTTTCATATGTTTTTTTTTCATATGTCATTTTTTATATGTTTTTACATACTATAAATTATTAAAAATGTACCATCTATTTATATCATCTTCATTTGTAATAATTGAAGACTAGACATATAAATGGCAAATGCTATGAATAAATTAAAATTATTGCCTTTAATTTTTTTTTTACAATACAGGATTTTTTTCATAATTAATAAAATCTTAGATTATTAAAATAAAAGATATATCAGAATAATGTGACAAATTTAAAAAAATCATTGACATGTTTTTTTAACGAATGAATAATATTTTGATAATCAAAGAATCGTTTTCTTAAAAATTTTAATTTTAATAGATGTAATCTCTTATGATCCACTTTTAGTTTTTTCTTCTTAATTTTCAATTGAATAATAATAAAGATATTCACTCGTTAAAAATATGTCTTAATAATTCTAATTTTATGTTATTTTATCTAATGAAATTTAAATAACTGTGAAGTTGGCAAGCCTGATTTACTCAAGAGAAAGGTTACGTTAAATGGAATTTATGAGCAAAAAGAAAGGAAACATAAAGTTTAGTTTTATGTTTAAAAAAAGATATTTGTATAGCAATATCATAATCATATTCAAATTAACTCCTCGAGCATTATTCATTATTGAAAGTAAATTCTCAAAGATATGAATTTTTTTATTACTATTTTATATAATTATTATTATATAATCAAGATTATTATAATTATTTTATTTTTATTTTTTAAGAAACTATTATATTATTGTTACGATATTTTAAATTAATAAATTCATTTTTACAATTCATTTCATTTATACAATATTAAATTCCTATAATTATATAAAAGAGTTTCTAAATAAAATATAATATTTATAATTTTAATTAAATAATATCTAAATGCTGTAACAACAGCGTGCAAATACTTTTTGCAGCTGTATTGACTCCATAAACATTGTGAAAGCTAACATTTCCACTCCAAAGTGTAGAAAGTTTAGAATCTTTGCATCACAATGTAACCAAAAAGAGAAATTGCTACATAATTCTTTCTGTTTAATACAATCTAGTCATAAAAAAAAAAAAAAATAAAAAAAATCATAAATCATACTCTGTTATAAAATTACTAAATTGCAAATTGCTAAAACCACAAAATTTTTTCTATATTTAATTAATAAAATATAAGAAAGTTTATTGTCGCTGAAGAAGATGTAAGAAATTTGAAAAATGCTCTTTCGAACTAGTATTTTTTTCAATGTTGAAATTAACATTCTTCAAGTCTCCGGAAACAGATATCGCGTTGCACATAAATATCATCCCGACCTTCAATTCGTTATGTCACCATTTTGCGGTATAGAAGGATATATATGCAGAAATTTATTAACTTTTGTATCTCGACACATATCTTGATTCATGTATTTTTCAAAAAGAGTTCTGCAGGATTTGTCTTCGTGGTCTCGTAATCGAGCTATTGATTGCTGTAATCCCATGGAGAGAAGTCATGGACAGTTTCCTTGTGAAAACGCATGGTATTTTGCTTCGTGGTAACAATTGTTTCGTAATCAAGTAGAAAATATTTATGTCTCGTTGATGTCTCGTTCGATTTCAATAATGTTTTACATAGTGCTTCGTTCGATATTCGATTGATGTCACGAATAAATTGGGGATATATTTATGTATTTTTTTAAATTGAAAATTGGAAAATTAGAAAATTTAAAAAGATTAAGAAATTTATGTATAAAAATGGAATGGAAAGAATTTTATTTTTAGATGATTTTAAACGCATATAATTTTGTATGTTTTGTATGTTTCGCATATTGTTTTAAGAAACATACATGTATCTACTTAAATTACGAATTTCATAGTTTTATTTTTTTATGTACATTTCTTATCACCATTATATATTATCGTTTAATGTTTATTTATAATTGCCCTTCAAAGAAAATAATTGTCTGATTGTCTTGAGAAACGATAAATCACAATAATTAAAATGATTTTAATTATATATATCATAAACATATTGTGATTATCCTATCATAATTTATAACTTTTTGTTTTAATTAGTTATCCTGAATTAGAAATAAGTAAAAAAATCGTTTCATATATAAAATCTTACATTTTCAATTCTTCGAAATTAATATAATGTAAAAAAAAAAAAAAAAAAAAATTACAAGAATACTCTGATTATTCAAGACACCTGATAAAATGTGATATTTTTAACACAATAATTAAAATAATTTTAATTATATATATCATAAACATATTGTGATTATCCTATCATAATTTATAATTTTTTGTTTTAATTACTTATCCTGAATTAGAAATAAAAAAATTGTTTCATATATAAAATCTTACATTTTCAATTCTTCGAAATTAATATAATGTAAAAAAAAAAAAAAAATTACAAGAATACTCTGATTATTCACGACACCTGATAAAATGTGATATTTTTAACATAAAACTAATCGTGTCAAAGAGATGTATATTTATGTAAAAAAAAAAAATGTTTTCATATGCATATTGCACATATATATTATTGACACATCTCGGCAATTTTCACGTAATATTTAAAAATAAATAAATAAATAAATAAATATTTTTCACGTTTATAATCATAAAATAAATTCATAAAGCAAAAAATTAAAGTTTTATTTTAACTTTTTACCGTTTACATTATTTTTCACGTACGTTATTAATTTTGCATATTTTTTTGTGATATTTTTCAGAAGCATGCTTTTCGATCATGATAACGTTATTTGATTCGTAGGTGATTAGACGAGTGGCAATACATGTTGTAAAATTAAAATATTTCTATCGAGATTGTTTTTAAAAACAAACGCACGTTATCCGAGACTGTACACTATGGATTGCTTCTTGAACTTCGTACAAGCGACACTGTTATCGTTTGTGCGTTTGAAAACATTCGGCATTAAAAGATTGGCATAAAAGAAACACAAAATTCAAACGAACAACGCGGTGCGGAATGGCATTTAATCGTTGCTACATTGCTATGAAAATTTTAATATTTTACCTTATTTTTGCGCAATTTAATTCCATTCGAACGTAATTACAATTTAAAAGTCTCGTTCAAAATTCTGTTGGAAAATGTTGTATGAACTATTAGGACATAATACAAAAATATTACAAATTATAAATTGTTACCATATTGTTATAAATTACATGAATATTAATATATTGTATTATAACTATGAATATTGTCTATTTTATTTACTGTACACTTTATATCGAATTTCTAACATATATAAAGTTAATATAAATTACATTACATTATTGTATAACAAGTATCAATTTGAATTAATATATATCCTTGATTATCTGGTTTAAGAGATAAAGGAAGAGAAATAGATAGGAAGAAAAGATGTATTTTGTATGCAAAATAACCTCATCATTTTAAAATTCTAAATAAAACAACTTACACACAATAGAATTAATTATTATCTATTATAATTTCCATATACATTATAAGCATACTAATCACCAATTATTTTCAAACAAACGAGAAAATTTTCCATTTTCATAATTTAGATATTATGATGAACGAGAAAACAATGAATAGACTTAATATAAATTTAATACAATAATATACCACTGTACAAAATTTACTAGAATCAGACTTCAATATCAGGTTAACGTACGAT